AAATCAGACAATGTGATTTTCTGGATTTTCCCCCCCATTTTGTCTCTCATAGTTGAGGTATACCTATGATGAAAATTACAGGTCTCTCTCATCTTTTTAAGTGGGAGAACTTGCACAATTGGTGGCTGACTAAATACTTCTTTGCCCCACTGTATGTCTGCATCAAAATGAGAAATAAATTTCATACCCATCCCTATTGAGGATAATACTAAAGGCTTTTTTTCAGAGTTGTAAGGATTACTAAAATACAGTTCAGAACTGACATGCTGAGAATAAACAAATATTTTGAATCAATGTATATGCTATACAATTAGTAGGCATTGTATCTTCTCTATGAGATCTCTATGAGTATCTTCTCATTCTGTTTTATCTGTATGAAATCAAGAATCAGGTATGTGACTGCAAATAGCGGTAGTACTTGAGGACCCAGGCAGTCAAGAGTTAGATCCAGGTACATATATAATTATTCAGTATTCTTTCTTTGTATTGATTCATGTGAAATACTTAATTCTTGTTTTGAAATGAAATGAGTCTTCAGAAAAGCTTTAGTTCTACAGGACAGAAAAAATAAGAGTTTGTTAAAAACTAAAAATACTTTTGAGGAAATTAACAGTATGACATGTGATTTGTCTTTTTTTTTCCTGTCAGAATCTACTCCACTGCTGTCTTACATTGCCTATGATCAGTGGGCCTCAAGATAGCCATGAATGAGATGAGGTAGCCGCCCACGAGCGTGCTTAAATCCAACTTCAGATGGATACAAAATATAAAGACGATGTATTTAGGAAATATGTACAGTTTCATGAATCTAAATTGGATGCCTCTGACAGGAAGCAGCGCCCAGTTAGTGATGAGTATCTACAAGTGGCAGCTTCAGCTTTACTCTGCTTTCCCAAGATTGATCCCTTTTATAGATTCCGGTTAATTAAATTTTATGAGATTGCTGAAAATTCACTTCGGTCCTTGAAAGCTTCAAGTTTGCATTCACTCCAGAATGCATTCGAAGTGCTGGAATCAGTTGGAATTAATCTTTTTCTTTACCCTTGGAAGAAGGAATTCAAAAACATTAAGGTAAGCCTGTACAAATAAATCATGTTTTAATTTCTTAGACACTTGTGATGAAGCATCCAGAGAGCTTCATAGTACGAAGCATTGTGCTATGTATCCTTTTTTGCTCACTTATTTTCTTTGTACTTAAGTCTAAAAGGAAAAGGAAAATGCTACCATCATAAAATGCAAATGAGAAATAATAAGTTTAAAGATGAACATTTGATGTTGTTCTCTTGTTACCTGTTTGGCAGAAATATTTCATCAAAGATTTAAAAAAAATAAGTAGACTACAATACTTTCTCAAGGGGACCAAAAATGTTTTTATCCAGATTTTCTGGTAATGCTGATATTTACATGGAAGTAAAATTGAATGAATGGTATTCTAATCATTCCATATAAGACAGAGGTGGAAAATACTATGGCATTCTAGATGTGGGCTTCAATACCTAGCAAACCCAACCACCCTTGTTAGTGATGAAGGAGAATCACAGGTTTTCCATCCCTGCTGTAACAAAAAAAATGCTAAAAGGCTCCTATAACATTAAAGGTGATGAACCACCCTACCCTGGGCCTGAGTCTCCAAAATCTAAGCTGATGTTATATTTCTACTTCTGGTAATACAGGTAGTCCTTGTTTAGCTACTGCCTCATTTAGCAACTGTTCACAGTTATAATGGTGATGAAAAATTAACTTTACAACCAATCTTCACATTTATGACCTTTGCAGGTCTGTAAAGCAAAGTTGAGGTAAGATCATAAGCACAGTTGCAGTTACACTTAATGACCACTTTGCTTAACGACAAGTTGCCAATCCCAGTTGTGATCGCTAAATGAGGACTACCTGTAAAGTTTCAACTCCTGTTGTCAAATGTTTTTTTGAATTTCAGCATTCATTATAAAAAAGCTTCAAGGCTTTAAGTAACCTCTGGTTCTGACAAAAAATAGTAGGAGCCAAAAACCTCTAGTTATCCCCCCCACCCAAGAATTTGTGTGAAACAGTGTTCTGTTTCAAAATGCTTTATCATACTAAACTGACAAGTCAAAATTAGAATAAATGTTTGGCTTCAGTTTGAATCTACTACCCAATTTACCAAATACTGAAGTTGATTATCATATTTTTGACATTGATGTAGTGTGATAGAAATTAATATGGCTTAATACAGTTTGATGGTTTATCAATACAATTCTTTTGGATGGGGCCCAAAAAGGCTTTTTAGTCTCTTGGAGTTATACACATAAGCAGTTCAAAATTGTGTTTGACTTCACTAATATATATAAATATTTTCTCTTCCCTATCTTTAGACTTACACAGGACCTTTTGTTTATTATGTGAAGTCTACATTATCTGATGAGGATATAAAACAAATATTAAACTTGATGGGATATGTTCAAGAACTTGGAACTATGTATAAGCTCAAAGACCTGGTTGATACCTTTCAAGTTAAGATGGTATCATTTGAACTTTATCTGGCCAAAACAGAATGTGAACAGTTGATTGAAATTCACTTGCAAGTGAAGGAAAAAGGTTATTCAGAACTTGACATTGTAAAGGAGAGAAAAAATAGTAACGATGATGTTCGTGGCTGTTCAGATGCCTTGAAACGCCGTGCTGAATGCAAAGAGAATCTAAACACTTCCATGTCACGAATGGTACTTCAGAAATCTGCTAGTGAAAGAGGCTCTAAAGATTATTTCAAACCCAAAGTTAGCAAACCTTCTAAATCAGTGGACACGTATGATAATTACTTGGATAGTAAGAAACCACCTTTGATGGCATCATTGAGTTTCCGGAAAGAGCCCATTTTAGTTGATACTGAAGATGACATTAAAGATGAAATAATTCGACCATCACCATCCCTCCTGGCCATGTCAAGTTCTCCACATGGATGTACTGATGAATATTTGCCAGTTTCATCCCACACCAATGGCATATTAAGAACAGGTATGCCATTTGGTACTTATTATTCCCCTCAAGATGAATTAGATTTATATACTGACCCTGATTCTAGAAGCACGTTTAAAAGACAAGAATCTGCTAAACATGATGTATGGCTGCTAAAAAATGATACCAATCCAAGTTATCATAAACGTACACATCTAGCCAAAGAGACCTCTTCCCTTAAGTGCCAAAACTGTGGATTATCTTGTGGCACCTCCATTTGCCAAAAATGTGACAACTTGCTCATCTGCAGACAAGAATATCCAGCAATAAAACAAAGCAACTATTCGCTCAAAACACTTTCAGGTGAAGGTACAATGTCTGGATCTGCTGGAAGGGAAAAGCCACAATATATGTTACAGACTCAAGAGCGAGCATCTCATAGTTCGAAATCCAAACCTTTGGGTTCTTCACGCTGTGGCTTTTGCAACCGTTCAGGAGCTGCCAACACATGTACTTATTGTTCTAAAGTTTCCTGTGATACTTGCCTCAATGCTTACTATTATGATCCCTGTTGTCGAAAAAGTGAGGTTCACAGATTCTTGCCAAACAATCAGTTAAACTACAAATCAAACCAGCTCTCACATCTGGTTTATAGATAGATTTTTTAAATTTATTTTTTCAAAATCCTATATTTTGGGGCAAAAGGGCTAAAAACACAAATATGCTGATAAGTATTTTAACAATCTTTTAAGAGAAAAGAAACAGATATGCCCTATTAGTATATACAGCATAGGTGCCAATCCTGATGATTTGGTTTTACAAATGTTTATGGCGTAGTTGATGCTGCTACTCTTCTTTTTAGGCGACTCTTAGTTGCTTTTCCATTTAGATGAGGGAGAGAAGCACTTCTTTTCTTTAGAACCAGGCAATCAATTTCCTTTTTTTGCTAAAAAGAAGACATAGCTGTTTCTTTGTTGTTTTTGCCTCATTTATGTAACATAGCACCAGTATAATAACTAAAAGGGCAACTTAGGAACTAAGAAGAACATTTTTAAAATATTGTAAAATCGTTTGTTTTGGTAGTTTGTACAAAACATTCATGTGTATGTTTGCTCTTATCCCACCCCCCGCTCCCCATTTTTTTAAAAAGAAAGTTTACATACACTTCCTAGGCTCCAGTAGACAAATCACGGGTGGTGTCATTTTCTGGACTTTCCAAGATCTCTCTCTCAAAAATATAACCTTATATTTTAAACCAAGTGTTTACTTTATTCTCCATGTTGCCAAAACATCCAGTTGTTTGTTTCACTGTTCTAGTATTCTAAAGATGTCAATTTGTATGTGTTACATTATGCTTGGAGTGCTCTCTTTTCTAATGAGCAGTGATTCATCTTCTGTTGCACATGTATCAAATTCTTTTATTTTTACTGTAAATAGTTAATTTGGAAGTAGTTTATTTTAATAAATATATTCAATATGTTGTCTTTTAAAAAAATGGGTAAGATCATGTAATTGAAGTCTCTGGGTTATTTTTTCAGATAACATTTTTTTTTGTACTGTATTTCACCTGCAGCATATTACCACTGTTATAGAGACTTGCTCCTAAAAATCGATTCATTCTTTATTCCTTTCAACTGGATGAAATTCTGCTTCCTGAATCAGAAACGTTTGGACACATAATTTCACCTTTCTCTGCCATATTTACAACTAAATTCTCAATATTAAAAAGAGTTGGGCACACACACATTCACTTATGCTGTCTCTCATTCACACTTCTGGGAGTAGTTTACATACACTACACCACTGCACTCCACTGCAAATTGATAGTATTAAAAAAAAAAAAACGAGGAGAGGAGTTAATGCCATTTCCAGGCATTAAGATTTCTCTTTGTGGAGGTAGAGTTAAATGCATAATTTGATCTAGTCCCAAAGTGTATCAAGGTGTCATTCTAACATTTATATAGCCTTGTTATGCCATTGCATTGAATTCTGAATTTTGTGGAACGTTATCTTTGACCTAAAACTGTACATTTTAAGAGCATGGTTGTTGATTCTAGGATTTATAAGAATTGTAGTCCTTTCACCTTTTATGTGATGAAACTTATATGAATGGCCAGTGATTACATTATCAATGTGCAGGGGAGGGATTGGGTGGGAAGGAGGGTTAGCAAGGGCGGGCAGGAACTCAGAGGGGATTGAATAAATGTTTGCTGACATTCTTTTGTCATTAATGAGCATCAGATGTGCATCTTCAAGTGATTGTTATGGAAGGTTGCCGAGAGCAAAATACTATCAAAAAAGGCTACATACTCAAGAAAATCAGAAATAAGATGATCACAATGGCTTTCTACATTCAGTAATTTATTTTATTTCCTGCCAGCAAGGAAGCTTAATGGAATCATTGCTTATGTGAGTGATTAAGATTTTCAAAACTATAGATGGGTTTTTATCAGTGTATATTAATATACCTGTAAATACAATGTGTATATAAAGTGTCAAAACAATTCTAGTCTTTCTAAAGGATCTGCCTGTAAAGTTTATTTTGTTGTATTGAGTTTCTCTTCAACCTTTTAAAGCATCATGGCTGTTATTAGCTGGCTGCTATACTATATAGTTTTTAATTTTCTCTTGTTTGGATACTATGTTGTTATTCACATAACACTAACTAAAAACTGTGATGCCACGTAATTTATACAGTGAACCTAGCAGGGATTAACTATCTTGCTTTTAAAGAAACAGTCCTATGTATATATTCATCATGGAATACCTATAGTTCAGAAAAATGTAAGTGATACTATGCTAAATATATTTTTATGTGTAACTTACTGTATGAGATTGCTGTGATTGAGATAGTAAAATATATGTTAATTTAAAATGTAGCAGCTTGGCATTTGATTTGTTAAACATCAGAATTGCTGCGTACAGAGTAAGTTCAGTCGCATAAGAACTTAATTTTGGGGAGAGGAAATTTAACATTGGCATGTTTTGTGTGAGAAGTACTGTTTACATAGCATGTAATAGCTAATGGCTTCACAGTCCTTATGCATATTTTTGACACAGCCTTTTGAAGTTATCATCTGGGACACACAGTAAAGCAAAATATTGGCCACAGGCCACAGTGGCAGAACTGGACTTTGAACTTGGGTAACTGATTCCAAACCCAATTTCAGGCACCTTTGAAGACTGAGGACATTTTAAAAATGGAAATGATTTATTCAACTTGATACTTCTAAAGATAGCACAAATGCCATCAAGATTATATCACATAATGCGACATGCATTATAAAAAATCTGGCTGTGATGCTGCTTCTCAGATTAGTCTGGACTAGAACTGTTGTCGTAAAGACCATTTCTGTGGTAGCTTTTCTCCAAGAAGTATCGGAGCAATCAGATGGGTTGCATTCTTGAGTCTGCACACGACTAGCCTAGCATAAATCCATGCTCTACTTCCCCAGTCTTACTCATTGTCACCTCTTGTAATCTTTCAGTCAGAACTTTGCCAAACACTTTCTCCAGTACTCTTAGCAATTCCCACATAGTTTTTGCATTTATTCTTGCCAATTTATTTCATGTTTATTTTAATTCCACCCAGCCCCTTGTCCAGCCCTTTCATCCACTTCCAAAAAATGTGTTTATTTCCATTAAATAGTTCTTAGTTTTAACCATTCCTTGTCTTTGACTACATTTTTTGCAACTACTTTTTTCTCTTATTTTGTAGTTATTTTCTCATCTACAGCTTCTTATATTTCATTCCACTAATCCTTTTTTATACTTCCCATTATTGTAATTCCACACACTTCTGTAGCACTCTGTTCTAAGCAGATTCCATTCTTTTTCCTTAGGTGCACTTTCCATTCAATCCATTGGGAGATAATTGACTTTAACACTTTTTTTGGCAGAGGATGTATGCCTTTTCTTCCCACAATTCTACTTTCATTCTCATTTCCTTCATTTTTTTCATCTTCTTCCATGTCCCCCAGATCCACACTTGACACTACTAAGGAATGGTCCCACATTCAGAACAACTCATCACCTTTGTATCCTTTATTCTTTCATCATAAACAATAATGCTTTTTGTCTTGTGTATGTATGATTAAATAATGCTTAAACTACATATTCAAAAACAATTTTTAAAAATACAGTAGATATCAACCACCCCTCATTCTTTTTTGGGTCTCCAAATGAATCATTATCAATCAGAATCAAAATGCAAGGGTTGAAAGGGATCTTGGGGGCCCTCTAATCCAATCCATGATCTAGTGTAGGAATCTGCTACTACAACTGAATCACTTTTTCTGTAGTCTCATCTTGTTCCCATCCATCAGTTCATGCCACCTAGCAGAATAACTTTTTGTTCTTGATTTACATTTAAAATGTTTCATAATTTTACCCCAAACTTATATCCATTTCTTCCATTATCACCATTAACATGTAACATGCAACAATCACAGCCAATAGATTTAGTGTCATAGACACCCACCTCAATCTAGATGTCACCAATTCATACTTTCCAATATATAATTTATCTCTTTCCGTTGATAATTAAACCTACACCTTCACTTTCCTGCATACATTCATCAATTCTCTGTAAGACCAAACCACCTTCCTTAGTTTCCTCAGACACACAAAATGCAATGTATTTGTTTCTTTCATTTCATTTGTAAGTTCATGCTCTTTACCATTTACTCCTCTTACATTACATTCCAAATCATAGCCTTCCATGTGACATGGTTTTCACTAAATGGGTCCATAAATATGGACCTCTGCTGCCCATCATAGCTTTGATCAGCAAAGCTTTTGTTTAATACTTTAATAAGACAAGGAAGGTGTAGACTACAGTAGATTACCAGACTTAGTTGTGCCTTGTCCCATGCAATGTTTTCTGCTAATGTCAACTACAGTTCCAGTCAGTTTGGGCTCATTTTAACTGGTATGCTACAAACCCAAGCAAAGCCTGGCTTTATCCCAAACAAGTTCACACTATTCTGTACAAACTAGCAGAGGCACATGTAGGATCTGATGCTTTTGTCAAAATTATAAAACAAGTGTTGTTGCAACAGCATAATGCTTGTTTCATATTTGCCCTCTTTGACCCTCTGTGGATGCCTCTGCAAGCTAGGAACTCTAATTTAGTGACTATTTGTCAGCCAACATACACACCAACCTACACTCCATTGCTTTTCTGGCACTCTGTTTAGTTATACATCATGTACATTGTGCACATGTATATGCTATCAGAAAGCAATCTGTTGCCCTCCATATGTTTTAGGTTTCAATCCTCATCAGCCCCAAGATGCAGAGCTAATAGCACCAAATTGTGTACTTTATAGGCAAATAAAGTTATTTACATCTATTATATACTCTCCTGCTTGTGCCCCAATACATAGGATGTGTCTGTCCTTTTGACTTTGTCATTGACTCAAAACAGGGCACTGTGATAATTTCTACTTTAAAAGCCAACTTACTGCAGGAAGATCCATGTAGAAATAATAGCTGCTTATAAAATAAGCTTGACTTGTTAGTTGTGGGAGCAATAGCAACATAGAACCCAAATTTAAAGTTCCTTCTTTTGAGAGGTATCTGTTCTGATGGCTGGTAACATTTGATAGAGAGCAAATTTTGCTTTTAATCCAAAAAGTTGAGATGCTCATTATCTTGAATGCTGGAACAGCCCAATTATTACACTTCTACCTTAAATGTAAACACAGGCCACTTTATGATGTATGACTGTCTAATTTACATTTTGAAGTATAAACAAAATTTTTGTTTGAGTGATGATCACCATTATCACAATGTCAAAACCGAATCCTGAAGTTGGAAGGGGCCAACTTTCAGGGCAGAGAACCTAAGACTAGACAATCTCTACCAGAACACTAGCCAGCTTCTACTGGAAGATCTCTGGGAAGAGACCACTTGCTCTGTCCATCAATAATTGGTTGAAAAAAGTTCAACTAAGTCTATCCCTCATAACAACTTCCTATCAGCTGGGAATTCTGAGAGTTCTACTCCCCAAACATCCAATTTACACAAGGCTGGAAAGATTGCTCCATGGTGTCAAATACTGAACTCTGAGTGCAGGATTGCTGTGATTCCTACTCAATTGACAAGAATGTTTGAAAAATAAAAGTGTCCTTATGTTAACATGATGCATAGCCTTATATCTATTTTAAAAGTTATCAGCAATAACTGGCAAAGATAGACACTGGATTGGGTTGGTCTCAGGGGCTCCTTGGTGAAGGAAGCGATTCATTTCATAGTGGCAAATTTATAGTTTTTATCTCTATGATTCACTAAAATCATTATTTGTGCACCAGTGGGGAGGAATTGGGAGAGAGATTTTAACTAGCCTTCTTCCATAGGAGAGCATAGAAATGGGACTATGTCTCCTGTATATGGGTGTATTCATGTGTGAATAAACAAATGTGTAATGCTGGGGAGAATATAGAGAAAAGGGAGGAGAAACAGGATCTGAGAAAATCTAATGACTTTCCTGACTTCAAAAACCTGATTTGGTTTTTAATTTGTGTGGTATCAAGCAGTTACATCATCTAACCCAGGCAAAATGATCCTCCAGTGGACTGCAACTTCCTGCAGTTTTTATGACGTGTCTTTATATCAAAAAATAAGTACTTCATTTCAAGTACAATGCTACCAATGCTACCTTTGGTTAGCTCACCACATTTTCTTTGTTTTGTATTCTGCTTGAGATACTTCATAGCAGAAAGCTAAACTGAACAAGAAATTCTAGGTATTCAAGTATTCAGCACTCAACTCAGTAGTAATCTTTGGCCACCTGGAGTTGTCATTAATATAGAAGCAGCCTGGCAGTTTGAAGACTCTTCTTTACTGTAACTTCATCCTTTTCTTCAAGAAATCAAAATAGTCTTTCTCAGAGATCGGCAACCTTTTTAAACAGTGGGCAACTTTTCGTGGTTTTTTGCAATGTCACGGGTGCCAAAAAAACAAAACAAATATGTGAAACAAATTTTAAAATGACTGAAATTTCATGGGGGCCCACAGAAATCTTATGAGATGTTAGCTAGTTTTTCTTAATTTGTTAATATGAAATTTGGAGATTGGGCATCATCTTCTGGCATGGTAAGGTACCATACGGTTACCCCTTTCTTTTATGTACTTGTGACAGCAGGAGAGCTAAGTTTACATCCAAAATATTTATGGCTGAATGTGGATTTTGTTGGGTAATGAGATTAAGAGGAAACAAGGAATATAAATTATCAACCTTTATATCTATTTAAAATATACAAAAAAGGAAAAACTTAAGCATAAAATATATCTTCAACAATACAAAAGTGACAACAAAGAAAATAAATAATACAATACAAATATACCAGACAGCAGGGAATAAGCAGTGAGCCTAAAAAAGTAAAATCAGGAAAGCAG